ATGATCTATCGTTCGCGGGCAATGACAATATTATTACGGCGCGTCGAGTGGAATTCAAACGGTGTTCCTTTCGTTCCGTCTCTTTGTTGCTCTATGAAATTGATTTACGGTCATGCCAGTTTAATTCGTCGTTTCTGGAAATCCACGTTTCAATTAGCCTCGGCAGCAGCAACATTTAACAGTGATATATGTAAACGGCGTCGTATTAGTGTCGAGAGACTTAACTTCGGTCTCTCGGACACAGATATCCGGAGTGATAACGGTTATGTATTGTAAACGCGCGTGTTTCTCGATCTCTTCAAACAACTAGATTTAATCCGTATTTCAAATGGGCTTGATTCACTCCGTTTTAATTAGTCCTCTTTCACCGGTTACGTGCTTATTTTATACTCGAACGAGCTTTTAATTAGCACCTGCAGTTCCACAGATATATCGACGGTGATGTACGTTGTCGACATTAATCGTTGTCGATTTCAATTTCAAATGATACGCTTCTTTGTTGGTGGAACTTCCATATTGAATTTCCCGCCAACTTTTTAATCACGAGCGCCTTTGTAGAACCAATTATAGTCGAAAAGCTGCTGCACGCGAGTCCGACCCGGTTTTCATTAATTATTTATGGCGCGTTCACGATGGGAAGACTAAATCTCGAGAGCAAGCATTTTACTCGCTTGTATAACTATTTCTCGCATTTATATTAATCTGTAAATCTTTCGTGCAATGTTTAAGCAAATCTTTCATGCGCAAAACGTGGAAATATTTTCCCGACCCTTTGACGATTTTAAAATGTCGCCGCAATGTTAGAAATACGAAAATTAACTGAAAAATAATCAATTGACTTAATAAAGCTTACCATAGAAATTAATTACTAGATCTAGATGTAATCTGCTATTTTAATAACTTCGTTTCTAAAAATGAAATTCAACGAACAAATTCTTTACTGACTAGACGAATCGTTTTGTTAAAATTAATAACTAGACTGTGGGGATTATATTATATTTTATATATGTTATATGTTATATGTTATATATTATATATTATATATTATATATTATATATTATATATTATATATTATATATATTAGGAAATAGAAATTGTCTTCATTAATTGCAAGGTGCAGTAGCTATATCGACATTTGCTTCCTAATAATTTTAATAAGGTGACTGTAATTAAATATTCTGCAATTATTCAACCGTTTTTGTTGTCTCTCGTCTGATTTAGTCCTTGTACGAGAAAAGCACAGGATTCGCAGTTTAATTATTCTCATAAATATGATTACGAAAAAGAATACAAATGTAGACTCGGCATTAAAAAAGTCTAACGATGATGATATATTATTACATATTTGTTATTCAACCAGCTCATTAACAACTTACAGTAATCAACAAGCTTTCCTGTATTTCGCGAATTTGCATTTGCCATGAGCGTACGAAGATCACCGTGAACACGTATATTTACCTAATCTCGGTATGAGCAACTAACATGCTATTAATACTGTTAAATTGATGGGTTCGAGAGACCAGCTGCCGGAATGGACTGTAATTTGTTGAATAAATAAGAAAATGGAAAGTCGATGGAAGATGAGGCGGAGAATACAGATTACAGTTTAGTTTCACCGGTTAGCAGTCGGCCACAAAATTCCGTAAAAAACGGCCGGGGGACAAGAAAGCGCCGAGGAAGATGATATTATTGGCGAATTATTGTCAAGACGGCGACAATAATGTTGTGTGTAAATCGGTGACATTGTATGGCGGGCACGCACGCACGCATGCACGCCCTTATCCCGCCATGAAGTTTCACCTTTGTGCGAAGAAAATCGATTGTACGGTCGTTCGAGTCGTTATCGAGCGACGAGTGTCGAGAGGAGCGACGTGAATGGCACGAAGAAACGGTACTCCCTCGTTCCTTTTTCTCGTCCTTTTTATCGGGGGAAGCTCGAAAAATCTTTCTCGCCGACGCGCGCTTGTTGCTCTGCTCGAGCGGAATGAGAACTCGCCTGGAGAAAGTACGCGCCGAGGCCTTTTACCTTCTCAAATATTCATCGGGCGAAATAAAATAAAAATTCAAATTGACGCGTAATTACACGTACGCGATGCCGAGGAACGTGCCTGTTTTTCCGTTCCACGAGGAATCCCCGTGTCGCACCCTACGCGCGAGGGAGAAGCGAGGTTTTTTTTCTCTCGAACATCTTTTTTTCCCCGCGACGCGAAGAACCAGTTCCTCGTCCGCGAGACTGAAAGTTATTGCTAAACAGCGGATATTTGTGCAAAATAAGAACTTTCTTCTTAGATTTAGAAATAATAGAAATTTCGTTCTCTGCTTAATAATGTCAGTTGGTTGTTAATAATATATAGATGAGCTTAATTCGTAAATTCTTATAAGCTCTCTGCAGTTTCATATTTCACCAACCTTTTTTCTTTTTTTTGTTATAAATGCATAAAATCCACAATTTAGTTATTACATTTCATGTGATTTGTCGATGTCGTGTCGGTAAATATTTGTATGAATGTATCTACGGTTGGGACATGCCGATGTTTGTTTTAATTAATTATTATATATATATAATTTATACAATATATAATAATTATATATTATATATAATTTAATTAATTCATAAATTCTTATAAGCTCTCTGCAGTTTCATATTTCACCAACCTTTTTTTTTGTTATAAATGCATAAAATCCACAATTTAGTTATTACATTTCATGTGATTTATCGATGTCGTGTCGGTAAATATTTGTATGAATGTATCTACGGTTGGGACATGGCGATGTTTGTTTTAATTAATTATTATATATATAATTTATACAATATATAATAATTATATATTATATATAATTTAATTAATTCATAAATTCTTATAAGTTCTCTGCAGTTTCATATTTCACCAACCTTTTTTTTTTGTTATAAATGCATAAAATCCACAATTTAGTTATTACATTTCATGTGATTTGTCGATGTCGTGTCGGTAAATATTTGTATGAATGTATCTACGGTTGGGACATGCCGATGTTTGTTTTACTGATTTTCACATGGGGGGAGCACTGCTATGGATGGGGCACTTTTATTTAGGACAAGATAAGAAGAAACTGAACATCCTATCTAATTCTAGTTTGAAGACCAGTTCTTTTAGTATAAAAATACGTACGTAGTGTCAATGAGACATAACCTTACGTTTAGTTGCGTTACTTTTTAATTTTTTGTCAAAAGTACAGTTTGTCCCATTCATTAATTGGTTGATGGTGTTACGAGATAAAGTAATATTGGCTAATCTGAAATTATCATACATAAATGTTCATGTGTACATAAATAAATTTTTGACTTAATATCACATTTTACTATTTTGCGACAAAAAATTATTCTTCCTTTTTATTAAGAGGAACAGAAAAAATAAATGAAAATTTCTTAATTTAAAAATTAATGATATAAGCAAAAAAGTTAATAAGCTTAAAAGTTGAATAAACAGATTCATGCTGTATGATTTATTTAATTATTTTACTGCAGACATATAATATCCATAAACTTGGTAAAAACGTCAAAAGTTTATCTAGTTTAATTACTGTGATAAAAAAAACTATCCGATGCTGTGTGTCAGCATTTTTGAAAAAATACCTGATCGAATGCAGTAAATAAATATTCAAGCAGAAGTAACAGTACACTTCATACAACGTTACGAGAAAACAGGAAATATATTACTTTCAAGTATAAAGCACAATTGTCTGCTATAGTTACGTATTAACTGGTATCTCAAATTAGGTGTGATTGCACCTAATATAGTTACGAAACAAGTACAATTTTATTATCGAAAGATTCACAATCGTCGAGATAATGGTAATGTCCCATTCATGATAGTTTCCTGTTCTATGATTTACCAGATATTGGATAATTTATTTAGTTTATTAAATGATGATTTTTTTTGTAACTCCTTTATTGATTTTCCTAATCGATAGTTCAATTAGCTACATTTACATATTAATACGATCATCTTAAAATATTATAAATACAGCTATCGTCATACTTATTAGTCTAATTATTATTAGACTGCAAATCTTTATGCAAAATAAAAATAATCATCGATTTCAACGAGCATGAGTGAAATGAAAATTCCTTTCTACCTATAATAATTTGACTGAGTTCGAAATAATACACGTAAATTCCCAAATTCATTCGGTGGTTTCATTATTTTAAATGTCGCTCAGCCATTTTTGTTATAAGAACCCGTCAAATCCGCGATCTACCAACAATTGTGCTTATTAGACCGCCGTCAATAAACATCCGAACAAAAGTAGAATTAAAATGATAGATATTCCAGATAACGATATCGGATAGCTTCCAACAAACACGACTTATCAGCCGGTTTTTTCCTGATCAAACATGATTTTCCCGACAAAACTATTTAATAATCACAGCAATTCTAGCGAACGTAGAATTTCTGTATAATGCTTCTTGCCTGAAATTATTAACGATGTAGGCTACATCACTCCAGACCGCAAGAAAGTGGAGAAAAATGGTATCCGACGCAGTGAATGGGATTTTTTGGTCAATCCTAATTACATTTGCCATGGCGAGCATATTCTGGCCATCGATACTCGAATAGCATCGATCCCAGAGTTTTGCGTGAGCGTTCCAGTTAGCGGGGCGATCGATAATTAACTTCTTATCGCGGTAAATTATCGTGATGATCGGCTGGTCGGCCGCCAGGCAGTCGCGATTGAGAGATGCGGACGCTCGGTTCTCCCGTGTTCGACGATGTTTTATCCCGGTATCAGCTGGATCTGATACGATCCGCTAAAAATATTATTCGATACACCAGTCGATCTTCTGCCAGCCGGTAAATCGGTTTCAATTAATAATTCCGGTTAAGAGTATATCGTGGCCGACGTTTCAATTCCGATCGTCCCCGGGGGCTTTCGTCCGCGGTGGAAACGATTTCTGCTGTTTCGGCGGCGAACGAAGGTGACACCGGTGCTAACTCGACGGTGTTTTTCGTGGTTACAGGATGAATTATGCCAGCTGTGCGCGATAGACCCCAGGTCCGACGACGCGGAGAACTATCGGGGATCTATTGAACGATACGCGTCCAATTTGGGCGATCAGGGCGAGGAAGGTGACATCGAGGAAGACGCCATCAGCGAGGACGAGGAGGACGTCATGCCACCAACACCCGATACCGTACCGATGACAAATTCGACGGCAATCGAGGATAGTTGCGATCAAATCGACGGCAATCCCGGATCCGTGGAGCAATCGAACGGCAGCCTTGCCGACAACGAACCAGTGAAACGTCGTAGAAAGACTGAGGAGATCGCCTCTTTCAACACGTAAGCAACCTTATCGGAATACTTTATCTCGAGGGCGTATAATGTATCGCGTTGACGTACCAAAGAGCAAATAATTCCTTGCCGGTTCCAAATTTCTCTTCCGCTTAGGTAGATTGTATTTTACCTGTTTGACGAATAGGCACGTTTTGTGACCTCTCTCTATGCAACTTCTAGAAAATCGGTGTTATTTCCGATGAACGGGTGCTTTACGTATGTACCTCTCTCGGTTTCTAGTTCGATTGTTAAACAACATTTTCAGGCTTGATGCTTCTTCTTCATTTTGATTGTTCGAAGTTATCTTCGATATTTTTCGAAGTCTACTGATTATAAATATTTCGCTATAATTGGACTGGGGATATTTGCGGAATATTGTTACATCAATTGTAAGAAACAGAAATCAGATAGTTTCATGTTTTTTTTTAAATTATTGAAGTTATATAAACTCTTTTATAAATTGTTAAATAAATTTCTTGATTAATTTCCTAATAAATCGAGCTGTAATTTTGAAACAATTTTTATATCACTAAATCTGTGATTATTTAATATACTGTTAGAAATTGTAGTAAGTGTTCAATTGTATGTGTAAACAGAGAACAAAAGTCGAGACGGTATAGAAATTTTCTAGATCAGAAAAATTGGCAAAAATTCTGGAGTTAAAATGTCTTTGAGTACAAAAGGTTAATAATTACTAGATTGCTAATTTTTATACAAATTCTTATTTACACTAATCACTTTCTGGGTATCTAAAGAAGGGAACAATTTCTTGTATTGACTAGAAAGCTAGTTATGGTGAACGTAGAATAATAGTACAATTAATTTCCATGCACAATTTTTGATTTTTGTATATCTTTATTTATTTTTCTTGGATTTTGATAACAAAAGAGTTAAATGTTGTTTCGATTTAGAAAAAGTGAATAACATTCACATTCAATAGATGACATATAAATGTTCATCAGAAAATCGACTTGTTTTTATACTGTTATGGGATTAATGATTTTAATCACCTGGAACTAATACATTGATTTTTGTGAACGCTTTTGATCTGTCCGCTGTTTGAATCTCATTTTCGTCGTAAACGCATAAAATCCGCAGTCTAATTATCAGTTTGTAATTTTTGACGTGCAAAAGGAGTGGAATTATACAATCCAGAGATTTCTCTTTCAAGGATCAGAGGATCCGGGTTATGACATGGTGGTGTAATATGGCAAGCTTGGAAAGACGTCTTTTTCGCAGATACGCGAGGCATAATAATTAGTTTTCTTCTTATGAATAGATCTCTGACAGCACTTTTCGTATGTCTTCCTACGGAACTGTTTCTTTCCGTCATTCAATCACGTTTATGCTTTCTCGAGAGATGCTGCTGCACTCGCGTGCTACCTCATTTATACTTTTATTGTAACACTTTCTGTGACCGGGCCTTTTCGTGTCACTTTCTTTCCACTCCCGCAGCTAACCACACAATAAATCCATGAAACTGCATTTCCAAAAATTTTCCAACGGTGAAACACTACGAAAGTCCAAACGATCCGGTGGGACTTGATTATTTTGTACAATAGTAAAGGCAATGCACGAATCTAAAGGCTGAGGAAACAAATATTTACTTTCAATTGATAATCGGCACTTAAAACAAAATACTGACTTGTTAATTTTAATGTGTTCGAGTTTTTGAGTTACGAAATCGTTTGCCTATTGGACATATTAGAAAGTTGAATTTCCATAATCCTGCGACGAAGAAATATGTCGTTGCAAAAGACGATGAAACAAGAACAGTTTCTTGTGTAGGTTTTTCTCTGAAATCAACTAATTACAGTTCCTTGCAGTTTTGTTTCGAATTAGAGCCTAGTTAACTCAATTAGAATTCTCATAATCGCTTGCACACGCGATGTATCGGGTTTCAAACAGGTTTTAACTTGTCCGAACTGATATTAATCCTGTTAATTTTTCATGGAACACTTGTTCACTTTCTACGAAACATGGTTTGACGAACGCTGCTATAAAAATTCACGCTACAGAGCAGATTATTCTGATAACAATAGCAACAATGATTTTATCAGTATGAAGTTTCAAGTATTCGAGCATTACGAACACATATTAGAATTTGTTATGTTGAAAGCAAAACTTGATACCAAACGAAAAATTTATCCAGGTCCACGATGCTCGAAGCATTCTAATTGCCAATAATTATTAAAACGGTGATAAGAAATTGATCATTCTTTTCTAACGATGGAATATATTGTAAAAAACTTCATTTCAATGTTCAAAAACTTCACAATGTTCAAAATTGAAAAACGATACAAGGATGGATCTTGAAATTTGATTGTTTAAAATAAAAGTTGAGATTGTTTCTTCGGAATTTTTTCTTCGGAATTGTTTCTTTAGAATTGTTTCTTTAGAATTGTTTCTTTAGAATTGTTTCTTTGGAATTGTTTCTTCAGAATTATTTTTTCAGAATTATTTTTTCAGAATTGTTTTTTTGAAATTGTTTCTTTGAAACTTTTTCTTCGTAACTGTTTCTTCAGAACTTTTTCTTTGGAATTATTTTTTCGGAATTATTTTTTCGGAATTGTTTTTACGGAATTGTTTTTACGGAATTGTTTTTACGGAATTGTTTTTACGGAATTGTTTTTTCGGAATTGTTTTTTCGGAATTGTGTTTTCGGAATTGTGTTTTCGGAATTGTTTCTTCGCAATTATTTCATCATGTCTGTTCAATTAAGCGATACAATTTAAAGCACGGCAATGACTGCACAAATTGCACAAATTCTGTCCACATTGATGCATGCGCTGTCCACACCAGTTCCTGGAACTGGATTTATGGAACATCGGATGCCTAGATCCTCAAAGAAATCTTGATATCCAAACATGTTTTCATAACCTACTCAGACCAGCTGCTTCTCCATCGTCCACTCGCACTCTCTGAACATGTACCTGCCTAGATAAGTGTCCTGATCTGATATGATTCCAGTCTGCAGACGTTAAAGCGGTCAGCAGCGACTTCAACATCGGTTGAAGTTAACCCATTTAGTTAAAAGAGAAAATCCTAAATGAGGCGCCTTTCTTATCTTTTACCACATCCTTTTCTGCAAACCGCGAGTGCTGTAACTCATCGCTTATCTACATTACCAAATATTTCAATTATCAAGTTGTTTGAAACTGGTTTAAATGAAACTTGAGAAAAACAAAATTGTTTTCAATCGCGTATTACTTTTGCAGAATGTTCAGTTTCGATATACTCCGTTTATGGGAAAGAAAATTCAGGTTTCTTACCTCTTGATTGATTAAATTGTCAAAACATTCCATTTTTATTCATTTATTAACGACTGCTGAAACCAATAGTTTCTTTCACGTTTGTCACTGGACTGTGGATTTTATGAATTTTTTACAAGAATGATTAGGTCAAATACAAAACTGTGGAAATATTAGAAAAATTTGAGAATATCTTTATATTATATGTAACTTATTTAAATAACTATGATATAAGAGGAAATACACTTTTATTAGACCTACGTTCCTTATCATTAACTTAGACAATGTTTATTTCGCATAAAAATTCGCAGTTTGTTTATCACAAGTTCATTCAGTACTGTGGAGTTTATGCAAAATAAAAATTGTATTAATTACAACACAGTGTTTTTAAATACTTTCAATGTTCCCTCTGTTTTGTGTTTATCTACACATTTTTGTCATAAATGCATAAAATCCGCAGTCTGATCAATATTTATTGTGTCACCATTTTTAAAGTATCTTGAAATTTGTGGCAAAACGGAATCTTCCTGTCGTATTAATCAGTTCAATTAGTTAAGAGCAGCACTGATAACTAGGCTGCCAATCTTTATGCAAAATAAAACAGAATAAACAGATATAAAACAGAAACGTATCTTTCCTTTCAATAATTTTAATAAATTAAAGTAAAGATGTGACAAAAAATGTTCATAAATTTTTCTATTGTGTTTACATTTTCGTATTTTTTCTAGTCACTTTGATCACGATTAATATCCGAAGTCTACTCATAACTCATCTGTGCGAAATAGCACATCGACAGTTTAACAACTTCAAAAATTAGTGAAGTTAATATATTAATGTAAAGATAGATTCCTAAATTTATCCAAATAATCCCTTCACTCATATATGTAGGTCACACGTCAGCCAAAGTGTTAAACGACAAATATTGTACTGTTACTGTAGCAGCACCATAAACGCTCTAAACAAAAAGAAAAAACGTTTCGCAGCTTTGATTACTGCTGCAATTTTAAAACTTTTACCGCAGCACCTACGTAATCTCACCCTTAGGCTTTTGGTAACTGTACAAAGCAGTCAAACTATTAGGTTGTTGGGCATGTCAAATTTTTCCTGAGAACAACAATAATTATGGTAATTCATCCTTTCGATATAGCCGATTCGAGAAGGACGCGCTACTGTCGATTGACTAGTATCCACTTTTAAAGCAAGATCTTCCGACGTTTGATGCGAATTATTCGCCGCCAATCTTGTGATGCAACCAAATGTACACTTGTACTTCGTGAAATGAAAATGCCTTTACTGCGTTACATGTCAGGAAGATCTTCGCTGAATGAATCTTTCGCAATGATTAACTTTGGAACTGGTTTCGGATTTTTATTTTAGGCGACAGTTCTGAGAACGCTGAATTGTTTCTGCTCTCGGACAATGACTTAAATATAGTTATTTATTAATTGTTGGGATTATGGAATGAAAATGAATATGATTCTAATTCTTTGCTTAAAAGGACTTTATTTTATTCCTTTATTGAGAGAAGGTATATGGGCGAAAACGATCGAGCTACCAAACTCTACTGAGAGTCCGGTAAGAAAAAACGCTTCTTTTATACCCTTTTTGGGTTCGTCTTGTCCACCAATCAGAAACGTTTTATTTGTCGCGTTTCACATTGTATACGTGACGCTGAGACCCCCAAACAGTCAGGGTACGATGTATATCTAATGGTACCGGTGATGATGTATCGCGGTATCTACTATATACAGTTTACATCACCGTCGTTGCCCGCTGACGGAACCGACGAAAATGTAAACCGATATCTCAGTATCTTAGTACTAAGTAAACTATAGATTAATTTTTGTTCGAGGCTAAAATTTCAACATTAATAATCTAATTCTTGGTTTTGTAAATACGAGTATTTTGATTTAAACGAGAAATTCATTTACTTATTTTACGGACAAAAACCTTTTACATCAGGCACATAAAGAATTTTATATAAAAATGAGAGTGCCGTACGGAATTGCCGGTAATTATTTAGAAAAGAATTTCAAAATAATTGCCAAATTAACTATAGGATATATAAAATTTTGACGACTAAGTTCAATAAAGACGATTTAATTGCGTATTAGTTTCTTTGCTCGTCATAAAACGAGAAACGGTAGTGATTCAATAACGTTACGCAGTTGTGCGAGATTTAAGTATAAAATTACAGTACTCCACGAAGTGAAATTGTTGCATTCGACCCAAATTTCTCTTACATTAAATAAAGAATGCAAAAACTATTTGCCATACTTTGACAGTCTTTCGAGTCTAACTCGAAATGGATATTACCGATAATAATTTATTAAATATGAACGTAAGTCGAAATAATATTCTCTTATCATTAGACTGCGGATTTTTATGCAGAATAAAAATTGTCTAAGCCAGTTTCTAGAAACAGAAATTGAATAAAATATGATACAATAAATTTGTTAGGAGACAATTTTGTCTAGTTTTCAAAGTTCAGAATATTCTTTCAAGGGCATTTCTAGAAGTAGAAATTGAATCAAATATAATACAATAAATTTGTTAGGAGACAATTTTGTCTAATTTTCGAAGTTAAGAATATTCTTTCAAGGGCATTTTTTAAGATCGTCGCTATTTTCGCACATTAACTCCCATTTTTTATAACGAAGCATCACGGTGCACATGAATAGGAATTAATGTGCAACAAACATCGATGACCCTCAATATTTGAAGCAAAATTGTGGCAATTATAAGAAATGCTCGAAAATTCTACCCACTGCAAGAATGTAAGCTTTCATTCGTTTAATTCCTGATTTTCGAACTTTTTCAAATATTTTCCATCTTTATTCCAAATAATAGTAAATGCATTTTCAGTAGATTCCCAAAACTGATCTCACGTTTCTATCGTATATCTATAAGCCAACGCTTTTATAAATTTCGAACGCTTATATGTTTTTAATGAAGCATTTTCGGACACGAATTTATATGAACATTTTCCACCTGCTTGATCTCAGTAGCAAATAGCATAAATTTGGTCCCAATCTTTTCGACCATCCTGTATACGGTTATTCCTATTGATAGGTATTCTATCAGAAAAAATTCCGCAGCGCAAACAGTTAACCCTTTGCACTCGAAGCTATTTTAACTGTAAATATAAAATCATTTTTCTAACTTACAGTATTCTTATTTTATATGACAAAATGCATTTTACGTATATGAGATTGACTCTTCGATCCCACGTAACAGTTATACTCTTAACAATTTTTTAAATATAAACTTTGTTAATATTTAAAAAATATAATATAAATAAAATATAATATAATATAAAAATAAATATAATAAAAATATAATATAATATAAATTTGTTACATCAGTAACAAATTTTAGCGGTGCCTCCGAGTCACCACTCGAGTGCAAAGGGTTAATGTCTCGATCGCTTAGAATTTCACCTGGTCGTTTCGATCAGAATCGCATAAAATCCGCAGTCGTCGAACAGTAACCGTGTCGAAAATGGTGCACGGGGCGAGTTGGTTAATGCCATTGACGCGGACGAATGTGGAGCATCGCTGACCGGCGGTTACCTTTGATCAGATCCGACAGGAAGTCGAAGAACTGCGCGACCTTCTACTTCCGTCACTTGGACACCGACTCCGAGCAGAACGAGGAGTCCGCGATCGTCGCGGAGGACTCGTCCGAGGAGGAGTGGACGTACACGGCGTCCGCGACCACGATCACGGGCGACGTCTGGGAGCATCGTGAAACGAACGTCCTGGTGCGGCTGGACTTCGGCGAGACACCGGGGTGCACCGGAAGCTGCGAGGATATCGCGGAAACGACCGTGAAGCCTGTCGAGGTGGTCGCGATGGAGTGCGTCGACGAGACTTCAAACGAAACCGACACGTCCTCTCAGCGCGAGAAGGACAGCGACGACGAGACGCGAAACGACAAGATGAGCATCCAGAGGCTCATTAAGGAGGTCGAGAAATTGGTCGGGGACGAGAACCGGGCCGTCGTTACCAAGACGTTTCCCCCGCTGATCTTCGACGACAAGGGTATTGCGTCGAACAATCATCGCGTGAAATACACCCGCATCAAGGAGTGGCTGAAGGTGAACTCGGTCTGCAGCCACGAAGCTACCTTACAGGTAAGTCGCTCGATTTGCCAGACCTGTGCGAGGACTCGCGGTAACGTCGGGACGCGGCGGGAAAGCTAACGGCTGGGTTGGTTCCAGGCGGAGTTGTGCGTTATTCGATTAACTTTTTATCGAGATAATTGTTCGAACGAATAAATAATTGAATAAAATTATTCGCGGATATGTTGATATTATCTTATACGAGAATAAGCTATTCGATTTGTGTTGGGTTTACAATAATTTAATACAAATAATAATGAACTATAAATATTGAACTAATGGAAAGTAATAGTTTTCAACGCATTCGACATACATCGCAGATACTATAATCAATAATTCATTCATGTTCAATTATCTCTCTCTCTCTCTCTCTCTCTCTCTCTCTCTCTCTCTCTCTCTCTATTTCTCTCTCTCTATTTCTCTCTCTCTATTTCTCTCTCTCTATTTCTCTCTCTCTCTATTTCTCTCTCTCTCTCTCTCTCTCTCTCTCACACACACACACACACACTATTTCTCTCTCTCACTATTTCTCTCTCTCTCTCTCTCTCTCTCTCTCTCACACACACACACACACACACACACTATTTCTCTCTCTCACTATTTCTCTCCCTCTCACTATTTCTCTCCCTCTCACTATTTCTCTCTCTCTCTCACTATTTCTCTCTCTCTCACTATTTCTCTCTCTCTCACTATTTCTCTCTCTCTCCCTCTCTCACTATTTCTCTCTCTCTCTCACTATTTCTCTCTTTCTCACTATTTCTTTCTCTCACTATTTCTCTCTCTCACTATTTCTCTCTCACTATTTCTCTCTCTCACTATTTCTCTCTCTCACTATTTCTCTCTCTCTCTCTCTCTCTCTCTCTCTCTCTCTGACACACGCACCCCTTGTTTTATTGATACTTACATTAATAATCCCCAACACATTCGCGGATATTGCATTCGCGAATAAAATATTATATGTCCTCGCGAATAAAAATAATTGATTTCTAAGCCATTATTCGTTGATTGCAGAAACACATATAACGGTATCTGGCAATGTCAATTTACACATACGTCTACGGTAACGGCTAAGAAAACCATTGAAATTCCATTGAATTATTTCAGAATGCATTGAATATTTGTCCTTCCTTCTGCTATTATTTGCTATATTACCATAACTTTCTCTCGAGCTATTTTCTTTTGGTAACATTGCAAATTTCAGAATAATTAAGGGTGACAGAGTAAAATGGGACACCCTGTGCAATATCGGTGCGAGTAGTAATATTGCTGACTTTGAGCACATCTTTTTTAGTGTGATGTGCGAGTGAGACAGAAATATGTAAATAAGAAGCGTGGTCAAGGAATCGAGGCTCTTCTGTTCTGTTTACGATTATTCGTCTTGCGCGAACAACGAATAAAAATCTTATCCTCATTATATAAATAAATGAGCCGTTTATTTTTTGAAAGTGGCATAAGTCACTTTGTTTTTAAGTCGATATATTTAAGGGTTTGCGTTTTAACACGTTTAAAAATATGGATGCTAACTTTCGAGAAGAATTACTTGTATTTGTTATCTCAGGAATCGGATACTTTTCACAGTATAAATAATTTCGTATAAACATTAAAAATCACCACTTTTCATTACGGTAAAGTGACTTATGCCACTTTCAAAATAAACGGCTCAAATGTAGTTATTCGTTATTCGCGAATTCGTGTTCGAATAAATTTAGTTGCTCGTCAATCGAATTTTCTCCGGATCCAGGTTATAGCATGCTGGTATAAATTGAGGCATCGGCTGCGAAAACACTTGAACACATTCGCGGACACGAATGTTACAGCATTTATTTTCATTGCGATGCAAAACGCCATAAATGCTATAACGTTCAACTTTATAAGTCACGTCGTCATGCACTCAATTATATAGCGTTTATTTTTTGAAATTATTCTGCACTTCAACGCAATGATTTAAGAATAAATCACCTGTCTATTTTTGCAACTCATTCAAATTGCGTTATTGCCCGCGAACGTTTTAACCCAATTTAGGTTTCGAAGCAGAACAGACAAATGAAAAATGCTTGCCAGTCATTTGTCATGATTAACACTAGTTCTACGGAGCACAAAAAAAACAGCTGTTTTATATTAGTTCATAAAAGTAACAACAAGATATTTATTCTGATTTTTAACAAGTGTAACATATTTGCCGTAAGTAACATGTAAATTGAATAAATAACTCAAATGTATCTTTACGATAAGAATAATAATAATATAATAATAATAATATATTATTATTATTCTTATCGTAAAGATACATTTGAGTTATTTATTCAATTTACATGCTGTCTCTTATACACATCTATCTTTACGATAAGAATAATAATAATATATTATTATTATTCTTATCGTAAAGATACATTTGAGTTATTTATTCAATTTACATGCTGTCTCTTATACACATCTATCTTTACGATAAGAATAATAATAATATATTATTATTATTCTTATCGTAAAGATACATTTGAGTTATTTATTCAATTTACATGCTGTCTCTTATACACATCTATCTTTACGATAAGAATAATAATAATATATTATTATTATTCTTATCGTAAAGATACATTTGAGTTATTTATTCAATTTACATGCTGTCTCTTATACACATCTATCTTTACGATAAGAATAATAATAATATATTATTATTATTCTTATCGTAAAGATACATTTGAGTTATTTATTCAATTTACATGCTGTCTCTTATACACATCTATCTTTACGATAAGAATAATAATAATATATTATTATTATTCTTATCGTAAAGATACATTTGAGTTATTTATTCAATTTACATGCTGTCTCTTATACACATCTATCTTTACGATAAGAATAATAATAATATATTATTATTATTCTTATCGTAAAGATACATTTGAGTTATTTATTCAATTTACATGCTGTCTCTTATACACATCTATCTTTACGATAAGAATAATAATAATATATTATTATTATTCTTATCGTAAAGATACATTTGAGTTATTTATTCAATTTACATGCTGTCTCTTATACACATCTATCTTTACGATAAGAATAATAATAATATAATAATAATAATATATTAATAATAATATAATAATAATAATGCGAATAATTAGTGACCCGTCATTTTGACGGATTCCGCAAATCTAGTGTTACGTGGTAGCAAAACGTAGCGAATAAAAATCTGAAAGGAAACAGAAGAGCGTAATATAACCCTTTATATCGTAAATTGAATAAGTTTTTGAGAATTTCGATATTTTTTCGACCTGGCCGAGTACCCTGACGACTAGGTTTCACATATATTTGAAATCCCGCACACACCCCTAGTAATTACTTGCTATTGTACTCTCGGGGGGAATACGCTCGAACCGAGAAATGGGTGGATGAACTTTGGTATTATACAATCATCTGGTGAATCGGCAAAGGTCATCTGCTATCGCGATATCTGCTAACGCATCCTTTCCAAGATATGAATACTTTTTGCTCGCGCGGAAATTTTATGGGAATAGTTAACGCGCGTTCGGTTATACCGGCCACGTCATCCTTGTTTTACTGTTGGGAATAAATTATAATGCAGTAGATTATATCGTCCTGCGGGCGAAGGCGTATGTTGCAGCGAGAATCGGCTATCTAGCGATTTGATCGGCAAGAAAACGATGGAACGAGTTTATTCTGACGTGCCGTGGACAGATATATTTATTTCGCTTACGCGTTAATCGAGAATCGGTGAAATTCGCGTGTTGGCAAATTTTTCGCGTAGATGCGTTAACAAATATTTTAAACGAAGGACAAATAGTTTAAGTAAAAGAGACATGGTTTAAACGAGAGGCAAATAATTTATATGGAAGACAAATGGTTTAAACCGAGGATAAATAATTTATATGAGAAACAAATATTTTGAATGAAAGACGAATAATTTAAATAAAGGGCAAATGCTTTAAATGGAAGACAAGCAATTTCTATGGAAGACAAATGGATTAAATGAAAGACAAATAATTTATATGAAAAACAAATATTTTAAATGAAAGACGTATGGTTTGAATGATTGGATTTAATGAAAGACAAATATTTTCAATGAAAAACAAATATGTTAAATGAAAAATAATTATTTTTCATCCAAAATCGAAGACAAATATTCTAATTACAAACCAAATATTTTCAATGGGGAAGACAAATGTTTTTAATATTAAAGATCGTGTAGTTCGTACAACAGAAATGAAATTACGGTAAAGAAAAAATAATATATTTTGTTATCGTGAAATGTGTGTATATTGTGCTGGTATGTTAAACATAATATAAATATTTCTTATCAATAGTAATAGAATAGTAAAAGAGGCGTTGGTGTAACGTAAAAAACTATAATACGTGATAAAGTAGGAAATAATACAGGACTTTCGAAACTATTAATTTCTTCAGATGTTTAATTATCTTTACATAGACTTTATATTATTTTATGACCTTCTTACACCGTTAGGAGAGTGTAGAATGTTGTTCATTCATTTTTGCTGCGATCCACGTTCTCTGGTCATAATGGTTCGCGCAAGCATGTGCGACGTTTGCGCGAGAAGAGCACCATTTAATGAGGATCAGCTGTTGACATCGGTGAAAGTTGATTTCTTTTTGTCCGACAGGAAATATTATTGCAGGAAGATTATTAATTGCGAGACGTTAGAACGCGACCATTGATAAGCTCTTGACATTTTCTATTAATCGAACAAGTGATGCAATTAAAATCTGAATTCTACCCGAGAAAAATTGCCCTTCGCGTTTCAAATGTCCCGTATCTCCAGATATGGGTTAATTGTAAGTTGTAATTTTACCGATTAATTAACTTCTTGTGGCAATAGAACGCGCACAGAGCAGCGTTACGTATAACAATCGCTTAAATGTTCGAGACAACGATCCGAAAATGAACTTTCGATTACATCGAAATTGCCAGAAGAAGATGCATCGCTGTTGAGATAGGACGCGATGCGATAGGTATACGGTGCACGTTAAAGCAATAAAACGTAAATGGGAAACCTATAATAGTAAACACAGATGAGATGTTAATCCGTTTAGAGGCAGAAGTAGTGTATCGTTTGGGTAACATGCCTGTTTCGCTTTCATTCATCCATCGCGTGCTGTGCGAAAACGAACGAGTTATGTTACTAGGAGACGTGAGAACTTCTACTAACGTCAGACTAATAACATGCTAAGGTACATGTACTGTGATCTCCGTACCACACGCAACGATGGTAGATACTTAACATGTATTACCTCTGGAAATCACTTTAGCTCCATAAGGTTCGATTATTTTTTTCATCGCACTTTGATACATCGGTGATGAGTAACATCTGTAATTAAATCGTATAATCAATTAAATTCGAAGTCGTGGAAAAACCAGTTTATTCTTTTTTAAGTCTTGGCAACTCTGTTCTCGATGCTTGCAAAACCTTTCAAATGCCTGCAATGCCTCTGAAAATCAACAATTATTATTTCAAAAATTCTCTGACAATTCGATCAAGTGCATTGCAGTTCATTGCAATGCCCGCAATGCTTTTCAAAATCAACAATTATTATTTCATGAAATCTCTGACAATTCAATCAAATGTATTTATTAGTAATTTTCATTATTAAATTTTATTTCTACAGACTCATTATTTCCAAGCTTCTGTCATTTTGTTTAAAGCTTCTAAATTTTATTTAAACAGACTCATTATTTCCAATGTTTTGTAATTTTACAGTTTCTTTAAAACGGTACTTAATACTTTTCGAGTAAATATAGATATAGGGTAAAATGTTTTATCAGCTTTTTATTGTTTAATTCATTGTTTACTTCTAAATAGCTGTGAAAACTAAAAGGGTTTTATAACGAGTACAAACTTCGTTCATAAGTTATAAGATACAGAGAGTAAATACCCATTTCTTTCTTCCATTAATGATTTGAAAATTTCAAAAATAATGTGTCATTATTCGACCACGGATATTACGCATTTATGTCAAAAATATGTACACGTACTACGAAACATTGAAAGTTTCAGAAGAATTAAAAAATCTTATATTGTTTCCAATTTATTCAATGAATATTTTTAGTTTCAAATAAAGTATTGTCCGATTAGCATTTCGAATAATATGTCGACTAAATTCTGCAAATAAAATTTTATTCGAACAATACATCGAGTAAATTCTTCGAATAATATGTCGACAAAATTCTGCAAATAAAATTTTATTCGAGCAATATATCGAATAAATTCTTCGAATAAAATTTTATTCGAATGAAACACCGAATAAATCCTACGAATAAACTTTTAACTGGTTATTCGAATAACGTCCAACTCCGGCCGTAAGTCGCCCCTTAATTGGCCGGACAAGTTAAACGTTCCTCGTCAAAATAAAAAGAAACGCGACGGTGGTATGGGTTAAACGTTCGATAAAATGGAAGCCGCAAAGTGAAATGAAACGAGCCGGCTACCAGTGTTGCAAAATTTCAGAGCGGGATGCGCTGGTAATGGTGTAATGCAGAACGTTTATGTTTGCGCGAGAGTCCTCAGCGTGGTCACGCGCGCGCCGTTTGTAACGAGGGCTAAGGGGAATTATAAGGTTTCGCAACAATTGTAATCAGCGTGAATTACAGCCGTTGGATAGCTGCGATGCCAGCGGCGAGTACACGACGGAGGAGTCCGACGGGGAGAGGCAGTCCGTCTCGTCGGAAGATCTCCAGAGCAGTGTAGCGACCTATCGGCGGTTTGAAGGCGCACTGCTCGGATGCACGTCGCAATCGGTGTCGCAAGAGATCTTCGACGATCCGGAGAAGACACCAGTCAACGAGGCTCATCCGATGATGGTGGATTCTGGCACGCCGAAGGTGGTTCTGCGACCCAAGCAGAAGGCGAATGGACCTAGACCATGGAGCGTTTCGAGCATTTCGCAGATCGGGAACGCTTCTGGTCTAAATCAGACCAACGATTCCATTTCGCAGTTCTCGATATCCGAAACTGCGCTGCACCAGTTGGTCTCTTCGCCGCCGACCAAATCGGTGTCCCTAGATGCCACGTGAGTATATTTTTGTATATGTTCTTCTTTCGGACTCTGTTTTTGGTTCTCTTCTGGTCAAGCGATGGCCATTCTTTGAATCTACTACTAAATTTGCTGGTTGTCAATTTTCTGTCACGTATTTTCGAATCTTTATGCATTTATGATAATGCTGGATTTTATGCATTTATGATAATGCTGGATTTTATGCATTTATGATAATTGCTGGATTTCATGCATTTATGATATGTAGCAGAAAATGTGTTCCCACCCGATCGAATAAGATCGGGAACCGGGATTCGAACCTGGATCTTCCGCTTGCCGGGCGAATGCTTCAACCAATTAAGCTACCATCCCGCCCGACCAAAGACACGTTCTCACCCAGTCATTATAAACACAAACAAACAACACATGTCAGAAATATGCCGGACTCGTACAGATAATTTGCGGATTTTATGCATTTGTGGTAGAAATGGATACCTATTTCAGTAATTTATTAATATTATAGAATTTTTTCTACAATTTTATATTGTAGAATTTTTTTTCATATATTAATTGTATTAAGTTTTTGAATTTTTTGGATCATTCTTTTATTTTTTAAAATCATAAATAAATAAAAATTTGTATTATATTATTATTTTTAGTATTATTTAATTTCTTTCCAAAAAATAATTTTGTTTATTTTTTATATAATATTTGAGAGTAGTTTAATTGTAATTTTTTTAATGATTAAATGGAGAGCAATAGAAAGTCGATTATGAACAGGATAATTAGAAACATAAAATAACGAAATGTTTGAAAGACATTCAGAATATCGATGTGTTCAGCATATTAAAGTTATTTAAGAGAGAAAACAAATTGCACATGGCTCCCCTGTGTCTTGCACTTGATGCAGACAATTTTACTTTTGTACAAATATCTGCAGTAGAATGATACATACTACAGAGACATTGTCACATTTGTCCCAGGTTACTAAAGTTTAATACAAGAAGAAGTGTGTTTCTGTTTCAAAATCATTTTTTGTAATTGATAATTTTTACTTGGCGGAACGATTCACAGTCTATTTATGTCAATAGCAAATAATTTAAACTGCTTGCTGAAAGATTAGAGTTTGGAAGATTGAATTAGTTGATCTTTGTATGTTAGTAACCGTAACTAAATCTATTCAAATTCTTTGTGTGTGTGTATTAATTCTTTTATTTTTATTTTTTAATTTACCTCTTAGAGATCAAGATTAATCCTCTTATTTAATTATCAATAGCTTAACTTATAATTTATCAATAGCTAATAATTGAAACTGGTTGATGAGAAATTGGAATATTATTTTAATCTTGAATTATGAAGCAGTTGTTTTTAACTTATCGAATTTAACTTAACTTAACTTATCAGTTATTTTTAACTTGCTTTTATCTTATTTATCAAATCATTTGTAGCTTATCGTGTGCAAGCTATTCACCTATTAATTAGTGATCTATAGCTACACTGCATAGATAGTGCAACTATGAATCTCAGGATTGTTGTTTCGAATGTAGACATCTGTTATTATAAGTAGTATAGGATTAAAAAATTGCAATTTTATACACATTCTTATCAGCATAATAAAGCTTGGAATTATGAGATGTCTTTCTCGAAATGTGATCAAACGTTTTAAATGAATGTGTTACTAATCAAAAATATTTGACAAATTTTCTTGGAACCTTTCCAAACGTAGCCATCGCTACATAAAGAAGAATGGGTTAGAAGAAACGTATCTTCCTAAAGAATTGTTAAAGAGTTTAAAATGATCTAAAGTTTTTAAATGGTGATAAATGTCCGTTGTCTCATAAGACACGTTTCTTAGTAGGTTTCGACGTGTGCTCCACTTGTCACTCGACAGACTTAAACGGTATTTGACCTTATTGTACTACACGTTGTACATTAATACTAATTATCAAACTGCAGATTTTTATGCAAAGTAGAAATTGCCTATATCAATTACAAGAAGTAGAAACTTTATAGCGAGTTCACTCTTTCTTTGATCATTTTAATAGATTAAAAGTAATGCATAGATATTTTCAAATTTTTGTATTCTTTCTACTGTTTTAAATTGCAACTATTCATCATTGCCATAAATGCAGTATCGATTTCATGAATATATTTACTTCGAGAAATTATATATAAACTGCACCAGCAGTCGTTTTAAAGAACAAGGAAATAAATTCAATTTATTACAATAGTCAAGTATTCTATATGTCTATATGAAACAATTATTAACTAAAAGATCCTTCATGTGAAAAATACGTAAATGCTATTAGTTTTTGTTGATTTATAGGATATCTTAAATTTTGCAAGCCTGCACATGCCATAAATGCATAAACGTACGCTGTATAATTATGACATAGCAGTTTCATGTTTTTTGAACAATTGAAATAGCTAATTAAATTGTATTAACTTTGACTGCCACAGCAGCAATCTAAAAAATTTCATAGAATTAAACTATTTGATTGTGCATCAAAATTGAAAAGTTAAATTCAACGACATGAGTTACTCTTTCAACATTCTTACATTTTGCGAATCCTAATCAAATTAGAAAGATACAATAGATTAGCGGAAAAGTAAATGTTCAAATCTGAGGAAGTTTTTAGAAAATGTATTATTTTCTGCGCGATTTTATCAAAATATCGTTTGAGTTTTAAATATCGTTTTAATAATCTCGTCACGTTTCTTTTAAACAATTGATTGGTTTCCATTTATTTGACAGTCTCGGCGAAACTTTTTTCTTCACAATCGCAGCAATAAAATTCATAATAGTATCTCCCTTTAATAAATTAAAAAGGTGATAGCGTTACAATTATTTTCAATATAAGGTTTATAATCGGTTCGATTGAATTTATGGAACATCAAGTTTGCTTGATAGAGGAAAAGGACATTGCAATTCTCTTTCCAGGAATACTCTGTGGTAAATATCGCTATCCTTGTATTGTACCTACCATAAATCAATCCGTTCGATTTTATTGATGCACGCGATTGAAACCGTATCACCGCAAATCCCTACTTTCTCTGAAACACTAGCTTTAGCCTTCTCTTGACCCTTTCGGTCTTGTATTTCTGATTACAGGGGATCACGCAAATCATTCAATAACTCAACATCCACGCTGCTGGAGGAATCGATCATTTGCCATGATGGCCGTGTGGTTCGAAACAGCTCGTTGCGTCGGAAGAAAAGCAAGCTGCGCAAGAAGACCCTGGTAAGAACGTGTTCTCTTGCATGCAACCTTTTTGCAATCCAATGAATCAGCGAATCGTGTTAAAGCATATTTCACGTCTATCATTTCGACCGGTATGGTGGTAGTACCTAGTCTACTAATACACTTATTATCCTCTTTATCATCGATACTATTACGGGCGAGGAATATCAATTCATTGGAACTGACTCTCTTGATGCATTAGAAATGCATTCAACAGTTTTACTTTAGCCCGTACGTGGTACAGGAAAGAGCTGACTACTGTTAATTGATGTTTGTATGATTTATAATACGAATATAATCTAAGTATACTGTTTCGCTGACTTCAAGTCTGCGGTGCATAGTTCAAGTGATAAAATCAAGTACGAGCTGAGTTGTGCTAATTCAATTACATTGTATTCCAATTACATAGTAATACCACTACGTTGTAATTTAATTATTTAATTCGAACCTTTGAGTTAATCCAGTTGCTAATCATTTTATTCACGAATGGAATTCAAATACAATGCACAAATTGAAATGCAACGTTGCTTTTAATTGCTGTAATTGAAATGCAGTTCTTCAAATGTGGCCCGAAATGTCTAAAATACAGTTCCAAATTTTGAACATGTCAGATAGATTTTTATGTTTTTCTTTCGTGCACACATTGTTTTTGTTTATTCTGCGTATTTTCGTCTTTTATTACCTGTTAATTTATCATTTTTTAATTCGACGTTTTAATTAAATTACAACCGCAATTCTACTCCAGTTGAAATAACGAATTATAGTGTAATTTAATTGAACGGAGGTTTTAATTACAAATTAAGATGTGATTGAATGATAATGTAATTGAATTGCTTTCTCAGTATAATGAGCTGAATAATTCAATTGTAATTCTGCACAGTTATGGATACAATCGTTATGGGTAAAATCATTGCCATAACTTAATACTCATTTAATACTTTCTACGTAATCGGGCATAAAATGGAATTGT